CCAAGCCGTGTCTATTATGACCCCATCCTGATTAATTACATTTATTTTATTGTACCAACTCGTAGCAGGAGGCAACTGAGGCGGTGTGAAGCTGAGCGAGGTTTGAAGTCCGTCTAGTCAAATTCAGGATGGAAAAAGGACAGGAAGCTCTTATTCACAGGCCAGCGTGTGAGAAAGCTATTAACATTCCCTGTGAAGCCTCTCCAGTGACTAAGACTGGTTTACACCTCAGAGTTCCAGTAAGAAAAGAGGCCATTCAGTCTGGAGACTTAACGTGATCGAGATCCTATCTTGTGTCTCAATGGCTTCCCATAGATAATCTTCTTTTAAAAGGCACAAACAGATGTTATCAGGGCCTCTGAGCATGCACAGAGAGCCATTCCCTCACCACTGTGTAACCACTGCTTAATAATAAAGGTAGGCCTCGACTTACGGCAATTGACCCCCAAATCTCCGTTGTTTAAGCAAGGTAGGGTTTTTTTTTAGTGAGCTTTGCCTCCATTTTACGACGTTTCTTGCCCCACTTGTTAAGCAAATCCCTGCAGCTGTTAAATTAGTAACGCCGTTGTTAAGTGAATCTGGCTTCCCTATTGACTTTGCTTGTCAGAAGGTCACAAAAGGTGGATTTCCAAATTTTTAACCCCACCAGTTCCATCCGCACCTATACCACTTCAGACAAATGGTTATCCAATCTCTTCTTTAAAAACTTCCCAGCGGTGGAACAGCCACAACTCCGGGAGGCAAATTGTTCCGCCGATTAATTGTTCTCTCACGGTCAGGAAATTCCTCCTTAGTTCTAAGGTTGCTTCTCTCCCACATTAGTTTCCACCCATTGCCAGGGGTGGGATGCAACTTTTTAAAACTACTGGTTCTGTGGGCGTGGCTAGGTGGGGCGAGGCCAGGTGGTCATGTGACTGGGTAGGTGTGTGGGAGGGGGGTTCCCCCCTACTGGGCTTCAGGGAGCAAAAAAACAGGGTGGGGCGGGGCCACACAGCACCCCCAACACACACACACACACACACACACACACACACACACACACACCGAATTTTGCCTCCTGGGCCTCAGGGAAACCTCCTGGGAGAAGCAGCGCAACAGCGAGAGGGGGATCAGCTGCGCCAGGCAATTTAGATTAGCTAGAAAGCAAGAAATCAGACGATTTTCTGCTTTTTAGCTAATCTAAACCGTGCAGCACAGCTGATCTTTGGAAAACAGCTGATGGGGCGGGGGAAGGAAATACCTTGATCTTTGGAGCAAACCAGTTTGCTCCCAGCTGATCTTCAGATCCCATCTCTGCCCGTTGCTTTTTTTGTCCTGCCCTCCGGTGCTTTGGAGAATAGCTTTGTCCCCCTCTTTGTGGCAGCGTCTCAAGTATTGGAAGACTGCTATCATGTCACCCCTAATCCTCTTTTCATCAAACTAGAGATCCTCAATTCCAGCAACTGTTCTTTAAATGATTTAGCCTCCGGTCTCCCAATCCTCTTTTTTATTTTTTTAACCTTCCCAGGACCTTCCTTAACTTGCCCACACACACCCCCGCACACCCCGAGTACAAAGGTGCAACTAGGCAAAGGTGGCATTCTGTAACCTTTTGTGCGTGTGTTTGCGTGTGTTGGTCTTGCTAGCACAGGCAACAGCCTCGGCAGGGAGAGAGCAATTCACATGGGGTTAAAAAAAAAGGGACCGGCGTCCTTATCCAAACAGGGCTGTTTGCTGTTCCACCCCACCCAAAAGGTTTTGGAATATTCTGTGCTGGCTGTTTGGAAGCCCTTGCCCAAGCTCTGGGTGAATCCAAACCAAAGAAAAAAAGGGAGAGAAATCCGACCTTTGCCAGCTGAGTCACCGGCCACAAGGACATCACTGATGTCAGAAGGGAGCAGCACTTGGGAATGGGTCCTGCCACAATCTAGTGCTCCGAAAAGCTATTATTGCATGTGCTTGATTAGATCTCTGTTGGTGGGACGCAATGCAGGTAGTCCTCGACTTACGACCACAACGGAGCCCCAAATTTCTGTTGTTAAATGAGACCTTTGTTAAGTGAGCCTGGGGGCCCGTTTGACAACCTTTCTTGTCAATGTTGTGAAGCGAATCATTGCAGTTGATAACTTAGTAACCCGGTTGTGCAGCGAATGAGGCTTCCCTGATGTTCTTTCCTTGTCAGAAGGTCGCAAAAGGGGATCACGTGACCCCCCCGGGGACACAGCGACGGTCATAAATATGAACCCGTTCCCAAGCGTCTGAATTTGGATCGCGTGACCAATGGAGAGGCTGCAAAGGTTGCAACTGTGAAAAACGGTCATAAGTCATGTTTTTCAGAGGCGTTGTAACTTTGAACTAAATGTCACTAAATGAACTGTTGTAAGTCAAGGACTACCTCGATGTGTCACCATTCATTTAGTGGTCTTTAGGTTACAACGGCACTGAAAAAGTGAATTATTTATGGCCATTTTTCACTTATGACAGTTGCAGCTTCCCCATGTTCCTGTGATCAAAATTCAGATGTTTGGCCACTGACTCATATTTATGACCGTGGCAGTGATCCCCTTTTGTGACCTTCGGACAAGCATAGTCAATGGGAGAAGCAAGATTCACTTATCCGGGTTACTAATGTAACACCTGCAGTGATTCACTTAACAATTGTGGCAATAAAGGTTGTAAAATGGGGCAAAACTCACTTAACAACTGCCTCGCTTAGCAGCATAAATTTTGGGCTCAGTGGTGGTCGTAAGTTGAGGACTACCTCTTCTTCTGCAATGCTGCTGAGAGAACGACACGACCGACTCTCCAAAACCAGCACCACATAAAATAGTTGTTCTTGTGAGTGGGGACACCAGCACCCATACAAAGCTCGCACGAGTGGGGCTGTGCGTGCGCACCAGCCAGCTAGTCACGTGGCCTGTGGTCAATAGGTTGCGGGTCCCCTGCTTTTAGGTAAAGGTAAAAGGTTCCCCTCGCACATACGTGCTAGCCGTTTCCAGCTCTAGGGGGCGGTGCTCATCTCCGTTACAAGGCCAAAGAGCCAGTGCTGTCCAAAGACGTCTCCGTGGTCATGTGGCCGGCATGACTAAATGCCGAAGGCGCACAGAACGCTGTGACCTTCTCACCGAAGGGGTCCCTATTTTTCTACTTGCATTTTTTTTACATGCTTTTGACCTGCTAGGCTGGCAGAAGCTGGGACAAGGAACGGGAGCTCACTCCGTAATGCAGCGCTAGGGATTCAAACTGCCTACCTTTCTGTTCGACAAGCTTAGCTTCTTAGCCACTGAGCCACTGCGTCCCTGTTAGAAAAGGATGGGAGGGTCGGGGCCAATCTGACATCTCGGGGAGGGGCCAAGGTCTTCCAGTGGGCAGGAGCCGCAGCAGAAGGCCCGGCTAGCTGGAATAATCAGCTTGACGGGACCCATAGCATCCCACCTCTGCTGGCACGGGTGGGACTTAAAAACTGCCTCGTATAGCAGGGGTGTCCAGTCTCAAGGCCTGCAGCTGGAAAGCTGGTTAGTGGAGTGGGGAGAGAATGGGGATTTTGCAGTAACCTTCCCCTGCCATGCCCACCAAGCCAAGCCACACCACACCACGCCCACCAAACCACGCCCATAGAACCAGTAGTAAAAATTTTTGAATCCCACCAACTCCTTTGGGGAAGCACACTGTCTACTACCCGGCCCGCCAAGCCACAAACTAAGCACGCAACAGCCTGTTGCACAAACACGTCTGCAGCCCATCAGGTCCAGCGCATGTGTGAATGCTGCCCGGCCCGAGTCTTCAAATGCCTCTTCTTGCCCATGGAACAGCGAGCCTTGGGAGCGTTTCCCGGGCTGCTTGGCTTGCTTCTCCCGCCCGCTAATCTCCAAGTCTCGCTTTGCGACCTTAAGGGGCTGGGAAAAGCCAAAGCTGAGCTGGCCAACCTGCAAAAGCTACAGCGGTCAGAGCTGCAAAGAGGGAGGAAAATAGGCGATCAGGTCCCACCGCCATGCTCAGGGCGATTGTGGACTTCACCCCCACCCTCCCACCAGGGCAGTCTTAATGCAGGGGCCTGATGGGCATTTGCCTGTGGACCCCATGAGCATAGGGGCCCCATACTTATCTCTGTATGTTAACCCTTCAATGCACCTTGTGTAGCATATAAATACGGCAACATGTTTATTACAAATTTATGTCTTGGAAGTGCCAATAAAAGAAATATATGTTTAATTTTAGCGACCATTGACATTTTTCTTCCTGGGAGTAGTTGTCGTAGGGGTCCCAGTACATTGCTTTGCCCGGGGCCCCTTAATGCTGTTTAGGTCAGGGGTCTCCAACTGACAACTTTAAGCCTGGAGGACTTCAACTCCCAGAATTCCCCAGGGGAATTCTGGGACCCGAAGTCCACAATTGGTGGCTGGGGTATTCAGTCCACAAATCTTACAAAACCGCCATGAATGTTGGTTGGCTTATCAAATCCTTGTTTGCCTCCAGTCAACCCAATTTGTCGGGAACCCTGGTCTCACTTTGATTTTTAGCGCAGGGGTCTCCAACTTTAAGCCTTAGTGGACTTCAACTCCCAGAATTCCTCAAAGCGGACTGGGGAATTCTGGGAGTTGAAGTCCTCCAGGCTTAACGTGGCTAAGGTTGGAGAGCCCTGGTTTACTTCAGAGACGGCCCTGCCTGCCTTGACTGCCTGCCAGTCCCACCCCGGCTCGAAGCGCAAAGCAGCCAAGCTCTCCCCTCGCCTCGCTTTCGGGCGCCCGCGGACGCCTCAGCCGCCTCAGAGCCCTCAGCGAGGTTGGCGGCGTGACATCAGCGGGCAAATCCCACTGCTGACTTGGCAGCCTCGGGAAGAAGCGCTGCCCCCCCCCATCATCCCCCGCCCTCTCTTCAGTGGGGGCTTTTCTCTCTCTCTCTCTCTCTCCTCCTCCTTCTTCGCAAGCTCCGCCCAGCCCCGTGTGACTCTCCCTGCGCGCCTGTGTGTGTGTGGTGTGTGTGGGATTTACAAAAAAAAAAAACTTTTTGGAGCGCCTCCCTGAACATTAAAAAAGCCACCGGGGCTGGTAGCGGACACCTTTGGCGAACCAGGCAGCGCAGGCGGCGGCTGCTGCTGCTGCTGCTGCTGCTTGCAAAGTGAGAGATCCTCGCCTTCCCGCCGTCTCTGCTGCTGCTGCTGCTTGTTGCTGCTTTCCCACGACCCGGGTTTGCTCTCGTTTGCTCTCGCCTCCTCCTCCTCCTCCTCCCTGTTTTACGGATCTTTACCCGGCGCTTCAAGAGCTCCCGTCTATATCCGGAGCGAGGATACCCCTTTATTTCTTCCCTACCTGACAGGACTTTTCGGATTTTGTCGATTATTCCAGTGGATGAAAATTCCTGTTTGTTTTGTTTGGATTCGGGATTGGTCCGGCGGAGAGGCGTCTGACGGCATCGGTGAGTCCCTTGAGCTTCGGAATTGCCCCAAAGGGACCCGGCCGGGGAGGCTCTTGGGGTCTGGGAAGGCGAGTCCCTTGTACCTGGGTTTAGCCGGTTCCCACGTTACGCGAAAGGAAGCGCGGGGCCAGCTCTCCTGGGGGAAGCGAAGAGATCGGGTCGGAGGAACCGGCTTTGAAACGGTAGATGATGATGATGGTGATGATGATTACTATTATTATTATTACTAGTACTCTTATTACTATTACTATTATTGTTTTGCTCTCTGGCCGAGTTGCGGTCATTCTTTTACTTCAGAGTAAATCTCACTCAACCCAGTAGAGCCGAGCAGTGAGTAGTTCCATCCAAAACTACTTTCCCAAAGCTGTTTTAAGCCGACAGCCTGTATTAGGGACACCTTACATTGGAGTAGGGCTTCTTGTCCTGCTGGCACTCCCAGATCTAGAGAGATCGTTGTCACAATAATAAATTGGGCGGTGCTGGAAAGAAGCAAGTTGAAAATATATATATATATCTCGGTCATTGCTCACCTTTGTATCTTCGGGTGGCAACTGCTTGGAGAGTGAGATCCAGGGAGGATTCAATCCAGATCAAGCAAGTTTAGCATCACAAGGGAAGGGCTGTTTTAGGATGCGGCCCACTGAATTAATACAGAGTTAGGTCTTCACATTTTGCGGGTGAGAGGGAAAATAAAGGATTTGTATGCTGTTTTTCCACTCCTTTTTTAATCCAAGAAAGATTCCCCCACCCACCCTTTACTAGGGAAGAGGGGGAACAAACCAGTACAACGGCCTCGGAATCCCAGTGGACATAAAACAGATGTGCGATTTCAGAGGCTGATAGGAGCGAGGATGGGCGAGCATGACAGTGAACAAAGCTTTATCTGTTCTTTCCTCCAGTCTCGGTGGGAAAAGGGATTTTTTTCCCCCCCTCAACCAGCCAGATGCTCTCTCTGAACCAAACTTTATGGTTTTACTTGACAATGAAGAAATAATTTGGAAGAATATCCTCTGTGCTTTAATTTAACAGAATCGGCCACACTGGGGAGAAGAGAGGTTGGCATTTTAAGTCCATCTGGCTCGACTTCTTTCTTAGCACCTCGATTCTGTGTGTGTGTGTGTGTGTGTGTGTGTGTGTGTGTGTACCTGCAAACATCTGGAAGGGGGTTAGGAGCCTTTCCTGAAGAACCAATTTGCTAAGGGAGGGAAAGGAAGAAAAAAAAAAACGAGGAAAAAAGGGGCCTGCTCCAGTTAGAATGGAAGAAGCTTCTTGGATGAGAAGTGAAATGTTTTCAAGAAAAAAAAAATACCCTCAAGAAAATCCAGTTGTCTTTTGAGGGGAAAAGCCCCTTTGGGACAACCCTGGTGTGGAATCTGGACAATTAAGAATCTCCATAGACTTTTAGCCTGCTTTTAAGGACTCCCACCGCCCCCATCAACAGAGAGTCTTGTGGCTTGGATGTCCAGATAACTTTTCCAACCCTTCCCAATTCATTTCGCAATATCGGAAGGACTTGGATGCTTTTTTTTTTTACAAAACTCCCCTGTGTGTCCTGATTTTGGTGGGGAAACAGAAAGTCAGGGCATTTAAACTGTCCAGAGAAGCAAGAAAAATGACCCTATGGTCTTCCCTTCTTTTTTCCTAGAGATAACGCAGAGGGGAAAAACAGACGTGTATTACCCAGAATGTGAGGTCTGTTGGGAAGAATCTATGTCTCTCTTTGAGGGAATCCCATTCATTTATCCGACTGATCACTTTTTTTTCTGCCCAAAGACAACGCAAGCACCCTCCCTTGGAGAGGTGGGGCTGCCAGCTTCTGCTGAGCTCTTCTACCTCCCATTGGTTTTTGCCCACGTCGGCAGGATCTGACTTAATCCCGTGTCTGGCGCCCACCCTATCCCCTCTTTTCCTTTGTTGCATTGTCAGGATCTCTTCCATTCCTCCTTGTTTTTCCCCCCACAGTCTCCTGCAGGAAAAACTGCTCTCCTGTCCC